CAATAAGCACAACAATGGGATGTAGCAATGGTAGAGATATGCCGCCCCCCACACCGCTAAGCTGTTTTTTGTTCCTTGCTTTGGAATGTAAATTTATTGTCTGTTTTGTAATTAATTACGTTTAATTTCTCTTTCAGTGGTCTCCATCGGTTTACACGCCATCGAAAGACTTCGCTATTCGATCTCCGATTGTGACACCATCATCACCGAACCAAAATGCGACCATTACGAGCACACCGTCTGGGGTCTCATTAGCCGCTGTTGGTAGCACCATTAAGAAGGTGATAATTGCTCAATTATGTAGATTCCTGTCATCTATTAAAGTTATTAGAAAGAATTCTGATAGCGAAACTTAGAGAATTTATAGGTTTTTCTTGTTTTTTAACTCAAAACGAACGTAGTAGCTGGGATGTAACTGTTTGGCATTCAACAATTTCAAAGGAAGCATAAAGCTACGATTTTTCAGATTTTCGTTGATTTCGTGATGACTTTTATGTCCAATTTACTGTGTTACTAAATGAATACGAAATATTCTGTATTTATTGTTATTATTTTTGTTAGGAAGCAGTCCTTCTCTGGGATGCGCGTTTTTTAATGCTTATTCTACAAATTGCCCCCACATAAAGTGTTGTAACATGTTTCTCAATGATTTTCAAGTTAATTCACAGTGTGCATATGAGAACGGATTTTTTTGCATTCTCTTGGGCCTAGTTGTTCATTCAGTAGTGACCCTAGTGAGGCAGCGTTCACGACGGCAGCGTTTCGGTCGCGCGTTCGACGCGATCAATGCAGTCGAAAGCATGCGCATCGATCGCGTCTACGCGCGACCGAAGCGCTGCCATCGCGAAGTCTGAACGCTGCCTTACAGAGGAGGGAAGATATGGGTTTTGCGCGACGCCACCACGTTTCACACTATTTTTTGTTGCTTTCGCCTATTCGGCAGTAGGATCAGTTGGCGCCGCGCCAAACCTAGCCCCTGACGCGCCCCATCATCCGCAGTGAATAAGGCTTTATACATGCTGCTATATATTTCCGTTCGCTTTATAAACTCTAGAAATTCTTAATCCCTTGCTTACGGCCATTGAGTGAAACAGTTTTACCCAGCAACTTTCAGGGTGCTGCTCCTCTTCGATCTTGTCGAAAGGCAACAGCTTCTCGCCGGTTGAAGCTTGAAAGTTCCACGCCTAATACTGCGACTGCTACTACCAATGCGAATTCTCAAAGTAGTCGTCGCCAAGTGAACAAAGTTGCGACTACCACAGAAGAAGAAACGAGTAGCAGTAGTAGTGAGGAGGAAGAATCGAAAACACGGCGAGGATGTCGGGGTTGGTGGATTTATTTTTGCCTCCACTTGTTTTATTGCTGCTGTTCTGCGAGAAGTGCTTTCCTTTTTTTACTTTCTGGAAACAGTAGTGGAGGGCGTATACAGTTCCTTTCTTCCGTACATCAGCGCGTTCATTTCCCCTAGTCTTGTCAGAATCCAGTTCCGATTTTCTGTGGCAAAACTGCTTACTTAAGGTACGGCCTGCTCCACCCGCTGAATGAGGTGAACCGCCACATCCATTCTGAGGGGAGCAAGCGTACCTAATGATGGGTAACCTACACCATTCTGTTGAAAGGAAGTGACAGTGGGTTCTTATTAATGTATGACGGGAAGAATCACATGGGTTGTCCCTGATTATTTTGTGTTCTGCCTGAAATTTCCGACATCATTACCCCAGCTGCTGCTGATTTTTGTCTCTGCGCAGTGTTATTAGGATTATCCCTTAAGCTGCGTGCATAGAATTGCCTGATATGAATGAGTGAGGTGAGTGAATTAGGAGATGGACAGAATTTCGTTCCATATAAAATGTGCGTCAGAAGCTAAGTAAACTCGGCTAGCGATTGGATGGCAGCCCTTTTTGCCGACGGCCCGGTGTGGGGGGGGGCTTTTGTCACTTTAGCTGCTTCACTATACTTTACTTTTCTTAGCTTTTATTAAGCAGTGTCGAAACACATGTGGTAACAAGAAAAACACAAACCACAATAGTGAAAAATCTACGTACTCAGACAAACAGGACACGAGTGTAAGAACATGAAAAAGTTGAAGTACACATGAAAGTGAAGGTAGAAAGTGTCGATGAAAACATATAAGCATCAAAAAGTGAGAGAGATGCCGCACAACTCGTAAACCCTATCTAAAAGAATCATATCTTAGATATTGACCCACAGCTCTCTTAAAGAGCGAGAAAGATACAGGCACCTGCACTTTCTTGCTGAACTTTATATATTCAGATCCAGCCCTGTGAGTAAAGAAACTGCTCCTTAACGAAGACTTAGGTCTAGGAAGGATAACTTTCAGCCTATGACCCCTAGTGGTGGAAGAAGATAGTTGAAAGAAATCGCGAAAATTCAACCTCCTGCACTTAGCGCATATTGGAGTATATTTTATAAACCATGAAGAGATCAAATTTGCGTCTTCTGAGCTTTAGGGACTCCAGACTGAGCATATTATTACGTATAAGTCCACGAGGGACACTACTATAAGAGAAACCCAAAGAACGAACGAATAGCTTTCTCGTAAAACTACTTTGAACACGCTCAATTCTATCCACCAGGCTTTTTTCTACGCGGGGAAAAAACACAATAGTGCCATATTCATAAGCTATAGGTCGCACATAGTCCTTGTACGCTGCCGATGCTGAATGACTAGGATCTTTTAGTGCAACGCGGATGTTGAATAAAAAAAAGTCTGTAGTTCGGCTGATTGGCCTATCATTTTACAATGGTTCGTTCGAAAGAACGAAACGATTATTAGTCGACTATGAAGCCAGAATCTTCAAACTAATGAGGTAGCTTCTTTTCAAGAATATACCGGATATCGAGTGAACCATGATAGAGGATTATTCCTACAAGATGCAGAATAAGATTATGTGACGTAGTGGGTGTATGTGTTCCTAAGTAGGAATGATCCAATCAGAAGTAGAGTTCAAGCTTGCTGACTGACGAATGAGAGAATATTCAGCGTCATTCTCCCAGAATGCAAGATTTTAATGTCATCTGCAAACATGCATGCACTATAATGGCCACGTTCTTCTGCACGAGCCGATAAGGAGAGGCATATAACGTATATACTGAAGTACATAATGGAGATAAGACCCCTCCCTGGGGCACACCGCTAGTGGCTTTTCTAACAGTAGACGAAATACCATTCACTATAACTTGGAAAGTCCGAGAGTGAAGGAATGCCTCAATCCAAGTGATAATCCTAGGATGAATGCCGATGTGATCCAGCTTGTGAAGGAGTAAAGAATGGGACACCTTGTCAAAAGCCTTATGAAAATCCAAATAAACAACATCAACGCTTTGCCCAGAATCTAAGGCACGCGTCCACTCATTGAATGTTACAAGCATCTGCAGGTCTTCTGTAGATTTTACGGCCTTCTAAAGCCATGTTGGGAAACCGGCAATACATGGTGTGCATTCAGATGACATTCAATCCTCTTCTTCATTATTTTTTCAAAAACTCTACAGAACAGAGAAGTAATGCTGATTGGCCTATAATTTTGCGGATCATGGACAGGGGGTTTTTTCTCAAGGGGAATGACAAAAGGAATGCTTCCATCTTCTAGGAATTTCCGCTCTAAAGAAAATCAAATTGAAAAGATACTCCAAGGGAAAGGAGATTTGTGCTGAAACAAGTTTAATGAGTTGGAACGGAACTTCATCTGGTGTGACTGAGGAACAATTCGGCCATCTAGAGAGTAATTCAAAAATTTCACGACGATCAAACCATACCGAGTCTTCCATCGTAGGGTAAATAATCTAATCTAAACAACAATGGATCTCATCTGAAGAACTAGTCCTGGTTTACAAGTCTCTTCTGGAACCTGTGAACTCTTGTGAAGCTGGAGCAAGGCTCGTCAAGCCATCATGGTAAAACCTGTCAACTCGAGAAGAGGCTGTCTAGATGGGTCGACACGTCGATGGGAAGTCGTTAAAGTGCAAAATGCCCCCCCCCCCCCGTCGCCAAACAGCGCCGATCTGGAAAATGCTTCAGTGTCTTTAGAAAACGCACGCTCTTTTATTATCCTTAGTGTCCGGCGCCAATCGATGCCTGTCCATTCCAATGACACACATTTTCCAAAAGTGTGGATACGCCCATTCTCATAGTCTCCAGACGCAATATGTAAACGCAGCCTTACAAGTATCTTTTGCTTACTAAACTTTATTGGATGATGATTCTAAGAGCTGAAGAATGCTGAGTTATGGGTCACAGTCTTGACCTCACACGGTTCTGGAACCTACACCTCAAGCTTACCACGCTAGTGTGCTAGAAGTTACCCCCCCCCCACCAGTATCGCCTCTTACCCTCTCAGCTTGACGACTTTTGTGTCAGAACCTTACAACTCCGCATTCAACGACTATGGCACGAAAGCTATCTAGCGCGCTCACACGGGGAGCGTGAGGTCCTCCTTCGAGTTCTCAGTCAGGGCAGGACTTTTTCCGCATAGCTCAGCGCTTTGACGATAACGTTGGGAGCGCGAACTGCTGCACTCCCAGCGTCAAATATGCAGTTCTCGTGATGAAAAAAGATTTTAAGATCCACTATCTAAACGAGGGAGACGTGATGATTCTCCGGACGAAGACAATGATACGGATCGTACAACTCGCAGGGGAAAACGTGGTTTGTTTGTTTGTTTACCGCTTTCTCTCCAACTTGTTACTGCATTGTTCTCGTTTCCAGTTGACACATCCAAAACAACAGGATCAGCTGCTCGTAAGAAAGCTCCAACGTCGGTTCCAGCTTCAAATGGGAGGAAGACTATCAATGGTGCAGGTGGTGGTCTTTCACGGAGAGGAAAAGCTGTTTTTGAAGATGATGAAAGTGGAACGAATTCACCAATGAGTAGTTCGGGATCTGAGTCTGGTACGATATAGCTCTACTAGCTCCGGCTCTCATATACATTTTTTTTCATTTTCTTTTTCTTGTCCCTTGACATTTATTTTCTTTAGATGACTTGGATGTCTCGTTTCATATCGGAAAGAAACCTCAAAAAGGCAAGGTACCACCAACACAACGAAAGAAAAGCCCGCTCCACGTAAACCTCCCATCAAAAGTCCAGGAAAGGTAGGTTCACAGCATGACTATGAAATACTCTTGAGTCCTCCCATAAATCCTGATTTAGGTGTTTCCTGGTAACTACGGTCAGCGCAGTCCACCGAAAGCTGCAGCAGTAACAGCTTCTCCGTTACCATCAGCAACCCGGGACTCGGTCTTCTCAAGTGGTCCACATTGTGATAGTCCGACTACCTCTGTTGGTACAGCTGCAACGGTACCAATGCGTTTAGGCGATACTGCCACTCGATGTAGTCCTGGTGGTGGACGAACACTTCAAGATGTTGAGGCTGATGAGGAGGTAAGCTCAGTTTTATTAGTGTATTGTGAGATATGAAATCTTGCCAGGTTGCTCAGGCTCTTGAGACCTTTCCTAGAACGTTTCAGCACTTTTCGTTTTAGGTGGCTGCAATTGTAGCGACACCTCCACCAACCGACCGACCTCGGCTGGAGGTGCTCTCTACTCCCCCTGTAGTTCGATCTGGTGCAGGGTCACGGACAGGTCGAGCGGAACGGCATCATCCGAAGGAGGGTAAATCCACAACAGCAAGCAGTGCAGATTCGAGCGAGCATAGTGATGTGGATCATAGGTGAGAATTTTCAGTACTGTTTACTACTTATTGCCCCATTGGCAAAGGGGCGTAAACCTTGAATGTCTGATAAAAACATCTCCAGTTTCGCCTACTAAAGATGTATATAGTGACCGCTTGACATTTCCTGACCCAACAACGGGGGCAGGGAGTCACAACAAGCACATGGTGCTGTCACCTGTGACGCATGGCCAAGCGGTTTCGCGCTAAGCGAATGCGATCTTGATGTTCAGGGGCTCAAACTACTCAGGGGTCAAGTTTCCAGCGAAAGTGATGAGTTCGGGCATTTGACGTGTGCTCCTGAATATTATTTTTTGTGATTTTTCTTTTGTGGAGTGATTTTGATGTATGCTCAGCTTATCTCTTATTCTACAATTGCCGGCTTTAGCCATGCACCAACCGAATCTTCTCGAAGTGCCTCAAGCTGTTCGAGTCGCGGTCCTGTAGGAGTGGATTCTCCTCGTCCGTTAGGAGATCGAATTCCGGTTCACGAAGAAGCTGTAAATATGGGTGGGGTGCCGGATGATGACGACGGTTACTCGAGGTTTGTTAGTACTTTATTAGGTCCTATTTACGGTAAGGGTCACTGACCTCCATATGGACCGCTTACTCGTTTCAGGTGTGCTCCGTCGGAAGAGAGTGATCATCCTCCTCAACTGCAAGCAGAAGCAGCCATCAATGCCAGCTCAGGTGGTGGCGCTTCTAGTGATGAGGCCCCACCCCGCCTACATCATGGAGTTCC